AGTAGTATATATATATATATATATATATATATATATATATATATATATATATATATAGGTGCTAACTCCGTGCTGTGTGCGATTGGCATGGACCCAATCAAGCTCTTACTTTTGCATGTAACTGGGTGTCATGCTTGAGTCAGATTATGTTTCATGCCAATCAGTAAGAAACTTAAAAAGGACATTGTATACCTTATTTTGTCTTTTCCAAAGTCTCAAAGTTTGATCAGTTAGGGATTATCTACTTATTGAGACACGGGGTTGAAAGCTAATAACTGTTGAGTTTTGGGGTATCTTGTTATCTTGAGAAGTAGGAAGGTATGTAAAAAATGCAGTTGCGTGGAGCATAGAGTAGAAAAATCAACAAATTATAGTGATATCATAGGTTAAAAACCATGTGGTTATTGATTATAAAAATTTCTTGTGTGATTTCACTTGATGTATTATCTGGGTCTGGCCTGGGTTTATCTTCCATAAAAAGGGTGAGAAAGAAGATGAGGACCTTCACTACAAGCACTGATGTAGTGCATGTTGGTCTTTGACTATTAAATTATCATGCTTAACATGACTAAATGGTGGAAAAAGGTTCATCTACCCTTCCACACATTTTTGAACTGAAGGCTTTTCTATATATTTCATTATTTTGGTTGTCATAATCACAGTTGTTCATGATGTTTATATCATGTTACACAAATTTCCTTTTTAAAATAGTTTCAGTATCATAATGCAATAGTGAACTTTATATTCACCATGAAACTTCCAAACATGTAGTGCATCATATTTGGGCAAGGCATGAGGATAACTTGGCTATCCAGCCAGCCTTATTGATGGGATGAATTTGGTCAACAATGATGATTACAGCTATAATGAGTGTGATAATAAACAACTCTAACAAATCGTGTTCAAATCTCAAATCTACTTTGCATTACGTGTAGTATAATCTAGTTAGCAATTTACTTGCCTAAGTATGCTCTATGAGCTTCCTCTTTTGTTTTGACTACTTGATGCTTATTGACTGTCAATTGTTACCTTTAGAGAAACAATTTTTATCTTCTAAGCTTAAATGGTAGTAATCAGGTTTGTTTGCCATTTCGCTAACTTATTTTGTTCAGATAGCCACGTGGAGCAGACATGAAGAAAAAGTTAATCTTTTGCTCGTATTTGGAGATCATGTCTTGAGTATTGATGTTAAAGGGAATATATTCATTTGGTCCTTCAGAGGAATGGAGCTGAACCATGAACCAGTTGGGCATATTCTGTTGGATGACAAATTCTCCCCAAGTTGTATTATGCACCCAGATACTTACCTTAACAAGGTTGCTGATAACTTGTTCCTGCCACTAATGCTAGCTAATGAGATTTGACTTTGAATATGACCTTTTATCAAGAAACTAAATGTTATACTTAAATCAGGTTATTATTGGTAGTCATGAAGGTCAGTTGCAGTTATGGAACATCAGCACAAAGAAAAAGCTTTTTGAATTTAAAGGATGGAGTTCATCTGTTTGTAGTTGTGTTGCCTCACCTGCACTTGATGTAGTTGCAATTGGCTGCTCCGATGGAACCATTCATGTCCATAATGTGCGTTATGACGAAGAATTGGTTTCCTTCACACATTCTACACGTGGTGCTGTGACTGCCTTATCATTCAGAACTGGTACTTGGTTTCACTTATGTGTTCTTTAACTGATAAGTTGTTAATTGTTAAATAACTTGGTGCCAGTTGTTATGATAGAACTTAAACTTAGTCATGTTTCTTCTTGCTGTATATTTTTCTTAGGCAATTGGCTCTTACCCTTATACACATCTATTGGTTTTGTGGACAAAATCCTTGTTTGTTATCAAAAAGCTTCTGGGAAGACCTTGCTTTTTTGCTACTAATTTGCAATAACAGGTTTGGATAAATCCATAAAATCTAAATTTACACAGAAATTTTCTGTTTGGAAAAGAGAAATTTTTTGTCATCATGTCATGAGCACTCAAGAATGATGCTTATGGATTTAGTGGATTAAGCAAAATCTGTGAAAAGTTACTGAATGTGGTGCTGCTAATTGTCTATTTGATGTGTTTTACATTTATTTTAATGTAAAATCTATTGTTTAATGGATCATGGCAATAATGTTATAATTATTATTTCTCTTTTACACAGTCCATTTCTAATGTAGCCCAATCCAAGATTTTTTTCCGATTGATTGAGTCTGAATATATATTTTTAAATTCTTTAAAGTTTTTAAGAAATTTTTTTATCAGCTTTAAATGTTGGGTTTGGTTGATAAGTCTTAATGTATCACCCTTTCGACAAGATTTTATCTTTAGGAAGTTTTATATGTCTTTGAACTGGGAGAGGATGAGATCAAGTCCTTGTCTTATCCTAACGTAGTAATGATTGAACAGTTGATCTATAAATAAAGCCTTAGAGAGCTTAAACATGTTTGGCGTTGGCAATGATGAATTTTTCTCTTCTTCCTTCTCTTCTTCTTGTTCTTCCTCCTCCTTCCTCCTCTTCCTCTACCACGTTCTCTCCTTCTTCCTCTTTCTCCTTCCTCCTCTTCCTCCAATGTGCCTTCATCTTCTCCTCCTCCTTCTTTATCTTCAAGATACCAGTACATACAGGTGTACTGTGTGTCAGTATACTGATATGTACAGCGTATGTACCAGTTTGGCCAGTGACCGGTACACAAAATGGCAATCCTTGGTAATTTAATTAGTATATCCAATCTGGCTTTGTTTGAAGTGAGTTGCTATTATTGGACATCATACTTTGGTAATATGTTCTGTTTAAAAATTTACCAGAATAATTCTACTGTACATCCTGACAAATAGCACAAATTTCAGTAACTTATAACATGAAGGCAGTGATCTTGTCTTTAATATACTTCTTTTTACTATGTTAGATGGGCAGCCTCTTCTAGCATCTGGGGGTTCATCAGGTGTTATAAGCATATGGAATCTGGAGAAAAGAAGACTTCATTCAGTGATAAGGGATGCTCATGATGGATCAATTATTTCGCTCCATTTTTTTGCCAATGAACCTGTTTTGATGAGTTCAGCAGCAGACAATTCAATTAAGGTATCATTTTAAATTAATAATTTTAAATGCTGCTACAATTTTGTATAATCCTTTTCTTTAATTTTGTTAGCTCTAGTTATTATTTGCCTAATCTCATATTGGGCATTTTGTGTGTGTATTAGGCCCACTAGGAGGGTGGGTATATATAAATTGGTATCTCAATGAAATTGGTATTTTAATATGCATTGCTTGAGAATAGGATTGCATCAGTTATCCATTGTGACAAGAGTCCTAAACATTTTCTAGCTTCCATGTGGCTTGTAGTCAATTGTGAAGGTTATAGAGAATGGACAACAATTTGTTTGCATTTTCTTTTTTCTCTTTCTTGTTTAGCCAAAAGGGTAGTTTATGTGGCCAATAGTTGAGCGTACCTGCCAAAATGTACACCATTATTCCATTAATCCATCATTCATGTATATCAGTGATTTTACGTCAACTTGGATATGTGTTTAGGTTTCGATTTTTTACAAAGTAATCTTTGCTATTCTTTGTGAATGTTTTACATTAATTCTTTGTTTTCTGACTGCTTAGAAGTAATAGAGGCTTTCTTCTTTTGCTCCATAACTTTTGGGTCATTTGTCACAGATGTGGATTTTTGATACAAGCGATGGGGATGCTCGTCTTTTACGCTTTCGAAGTGGTCATAGTGCTCCACCTCTATGCTTAAGGTGAAAACAAAAAGTTCCAATGTATTTTCTTGTTTTATGATTTTAATTACTACCCTATTTATTGACAGTGCCTTATTTATCATCTGGAGGGTTTTGAATACCGATCCGTACCGGCATATCGAGCTCTGTTCGGTATGGTACATAACGGGTATGTACTATTGGTACGCCCTGGTATGCCTCGGTAACGATCAAAATCCGGGGTGGTACTGGTTGGTACGCCTCGGTACCAGTCAAAACATTGGTACCACTCGGTGGAGGGTGGTCCGTGTATTGATATCCTCTCGAACCGGTACGTACTGTCCGTATTGGGCGGTATACATCGAAATTGAGAACCCTGATCTGGACATCCTTATTTGTTAGTAATATTTTTGCTTAATATTGATAAGGGTCTCTGCCCAAAGCCCTTTTCTTCTGTACATTTCAAGTAAGATTATTTTGACAAGTGACTCTTTTTCTTATGCAACTTCACAGTTTTCCATGCCGGGAAATTAATTTTTTGTTTTGTTTTTTACTCTGTTTTGTCGTTTCAAATTTCTGTTAGATTATCAGTAGTCATGGGAAACTAGTGTGGTTTTTGATTGGATTACATATGGCCATCATGGCTGTACAATTATAAATTATATCACCAATATGGCTGCACAATATATCTCTAGGATCTGACTATGTGTCATTATAAACATACATATGTGCCTAGTAAGGTTAGTATAGCAATTTAATGTTGTTTAACCATAATGAGATTCCTTTTAACTGTTTCTTTCTCATGTTTTATTATCATCGAGGAGATTGATTTGCTGTTTTTGATGTAAAACGTTTTCTATTCTTTTCCTCTCCCAATATCAGTGTTCAAATTTTTTTGGACTGTCAGACTAGACTCTAGGTGGGACAAGATGGAATTGCAAGGAAGTATTGTTTTTTAAATGATTAACTTGAATAATATAATGAATCTGTGATGATGTCAGATTTTATGGAAATGGAAGACATATTTTATCTGCTGGTCAAGATCGTGCTTTCCGCCTTTTCTCAGTTATTCAGGTATGCCACTTTTCTATTAGCATTAGGCTCCTCCTTTTTCTTTGGGATTAATCTTATGGGCTTATTTGAACTAGGGTCAACTAGTACATTAGATAGTTTGTGGTCAGTCTTTTTTGCATTTAGTTTCTAAGTTTCAATTAGCTACTGTACAAATATGATTTCTTTCTTTTAATTCTAGGAGTTGTCTGGAGTGGTTGTTGATCTGATGCATTTTGCATTTTATTCAGCAAATGTCAGAGCATCAGTGTAGCTTTTCTATTTGCCTGCATTGGTTGATCTCAGGCCAAAACATTTCTGACATGCTTATTGGTATTATAGAAATAGTCTATTGTAATAAAGTGATAAACCAGATTGACATTATTCCCTTAACATTGCAGAACATGTATGCTCACAGCAACTGGATAAGTTGTTGAATCAAATATTTTTATTAAGACCATGCTTTTAACCTGTTCGGTGCTTCATTAGCTGAATTTTATACTTAGTATCTTACTTGCTATGTGTTGTTCATATTCGTTGAACAGGATCAACAAAGTAGGGAGCTTTCTCAGCGACATGTAACTAAAAGAGCAAAGAAGCTTAGGACAAAGGTATTCTGTGGAAGTTTCTGTTTTCTGAATATCCCTGATTTGTTTATTTTTTGTGTTGGATCTTGTAAAAGGTCTGAGTCTTCACTTATCAGTTCCTTTCTGGTTGTATTCTTTAGGAAGAAGAAATCAAGTTGAAGCCTGTTATTGCATTTGATTTTGGTACGAATTGTTCTTTGATAAATGACTCTGATAAATGTCATTTTCGGCATGGACCCATTTATGAATACCTTTTTTGATAATATTCATGAAGACTTCCAAATAAAGAGTGTCTACCTTGAGTCTTTTTTTGGAAACAACTCGCTGCATTTGGTTTCACATTGAATTTTACATTCTAATGGTGAATGTTCAATATTTTTTCTAGTTATTTCTGCTAGAAGACTTATCCTAGAATTAATTGTCTAGTATTATCTTCATTAGGAAAATACATTTCATGTCTAATACTGAATTAAATAATTTATTACTCAAGCCTGAGAATTTGAGAAAGTGATATTTAGTTAACCAAATATCTTAGTCTTGTTGTTTGTTTACTTTGCTAGAGATGGGAATGTATAAATTATGTGCACAATACCCTCTGTCATTATTTTAGCATGTCCCAATATTCCTGTAGAAATTTTAGCACAAGTTTTTTTTTTTTTCACTGTGATGCATTTGAGAGTCATATTAATTATGAATTTTTTTTTGTGTTTTATTTACCAGGCATTTGTTTCTTCTTTGACAATGTATCCTGGCGACAGAATGAGATTGTTTTACTGAATTCAATTGGTTTCATTGTGTTTCCCCACTCACTTCGTTGGGATAAATATTAACTTCAATTGCTGAATTACAAGTTATCTCCCTTACTATTTTGTTTTTCATTTGCTACCCCATGGATGTGCACCAATCTTCCATTTATTTTTATTTATTTAGCATTATTTATTTTGCTAAAGCTATGTAGATTATATCAATCATGGGTAACCTGAACCTGCTTGACAAGGACCATAACTTCCTTATGCTGAACCTTAGTCTTGACGAATCTGTCTTTGCTTAGGCTCGTTCATGCTGCTGAAATTTGTCCATGAATTGACGCCTACATTTTGCGTCTTCTATATAATCACTGCTAAACTTTATTTCGTATGATTTTCTTGCAAGTATCTTAGCATGCATTCGTTTTTTTCAGTCTAACAAAATAAAAATTGGATTCTTTAAAATGGCCAAGTTCTATTTTATGATTTTGTATTTTACCAATTTCAGCCGAGATCCGTGAACGTGATTGGTGCAATGTTGTTACTTGCCATATGGATACACCACAAGCTTATGTTTGGCGGCTTCAAAACTTTGTTCTCGGCGAGCATATTCTGTCACCATCTGCTGGTGTCCGAACTCCTGTTAAGGTATAGTCTTGTGAAGTGATTTAAAAAATCACTCTTTTTTTGCTTTGTTCAGTTGGAACCCTGAATTTGAAGATGAATTTTCTCACTAACTAAATTGAAAAACCTTTGCCAATGTCTTTGTAAATTGAAATTTATGATGAATTTAATCTGATTATCTAATTGGTGTGTTTCAGGCTTGTGCAATAAGTGCTTGTGGTAATTTTGCTGTCTTGGGTACTCAAGGTGGTTGGATCGAACGGTTTAACCTCCAATCAGGAATCAGCCGAGGTACTTATGTAGATATCTTTGAAGCACGACACTATGCACATGATGGGGAAGTGGTTGGAGTTGCTTGTGATGCTACAAACAGCACACTGATAAGCGCAGGGTATAATGGTGACATCAAGGTGTGCTTGCTGTCTGCACTGAGAATTTTGAGTTGATATGTATGTTTTTGAGGATAGTATTATTTGTGCCTATATAGTTGGTGTCCTACATGTTACTATGGTTTATTGGTACAACAACAAGAAGCTGTAATGTCTCAACTATTTGGGACATCCACATGAATCCTTTTCTGCCATTGGGCTTCTTCACAACACCACTACTGAAAACTAGGAGCTGTCAATTTTTTTATGGTAAACTCATTTTGGTTTGTAAGTTGTCTAGAAGGTAATGGTAATTAGCCTAAAGTGGTTTTCCTTCCGGTTCTCTTGCAGAATCCTTTTTGGCCCTAGATCACGAGAGATTAGTTTAAGTGCTTCAGAGTTCAGTCTATTAAGATGTCCAAGAAAGTCAGAGACTTCATTAAGTTAAAAAGATAATGATTTGACTAGTATGTAATCTATGTGCTTTGCAGTAAATTAGAGAAGATGAATGTATGGACAAGTACTAAGTTATGATAGACTTATAGATAGATTACGATCCCAACGTCACCTAAATGCTTGTTAATATTGTTATGAAGTATAATGCACACCCTTCCTATGCATATGAAGTATTACATGATCTGGTATCTAGTTGGGGTAATTCAAATGCCTCTAGGTGGATTTGCATTGTACTTTATAGTGATATTAACAGTTAGGGATTTTTCTACTTAATTAATGTTCTTGTTCTGGAATCAGATGATTCTATCAGACGATTCATGTGAAGGATTGCCTTGTCATGGAATGGGAGCATGTTCATACCCTTCTGGCAAGGCAAGGAATCTTTATGTCATGTCTATTGGTACAGGTAAAAAATTTGCCTAGACACATGTTGACAAGTCTGTCATGGTATATTTTAACCTCAGTTTGCTGATTGGCATGACAAGCCCCAGTTCATGTTGGATTGAAGATATGCATTCCAAAATACTAGCCAAACTTTTAGGATATAGTCAAAATTCTATATCAGCTTCAGTATTTAGAAATTAAGGCTTGACCTATTTGCTTCTATGTCATCTTCAATGCATGTGCTTTATCCAACAGCTAAAATAACTGATGCTAAGTGCTAAATTTTCTGTGTCTACATATGGCAGTTCTCTTTCAAAGTTTTTGTCTCAACATCCTCCATATTAACATTCAAAAGGATTGGTTGGTAGGATATGAATGCCACCTATTCTCACATTGTACCATAGGTCAAATTTAACTTGCATGGTTGAATTTCTTTCGGTCACAAATCCTGTATATTCTGCAGGTCTGGGATTTCAAAGGTTGTGAACTAAGATCCAGTTGGAAAATTGGACAACATGTCATTAAGTTTGCATATCACCGAGCAAATGGTAACTTTTTTTTTTGTGCAGTGTTCGAGTTTTCCTTCAGGAGCATTTGATTTGACAAAAAAAACATGATTTTATCTTTTAGGTCTGTTGGCAACTGTAGCAGATGATATGGTTCTCCGGCTGTATGATGTTCTAGCGCTGAGGATGGTTCGTAAGTTTGAAGGCCACACAGACCGTGTCACTGACTTGTGTTTTAGTGAGGATGGGAAGTGGCTTTTATCTTCGAGTATGGATGGAAGTCTTAGAATTTGGGATGTCATATTGGCAAGGCAAATAGATGCAATACATGTTGATGTTCCTATAACAGCATTATCTCTGTCTCCTTCAATGGATGTTTTGGCAACCTCTCATGTTGATCAAAATGGTGTATACCTTTGGTAAGTCTTCTGTTGGTCTATGTGCATTGAACTTTGATATTGAAAGATAAGGTTTGAACTTTTAAGTTCTTATTTATCAGTGATATATGCTACACTTACTATGTAACAGAAGCTTTCATACATTTATGTAGAAATAGAGTGAGGGCGAGCTTTGATACAATGATAAGGCTGCTCTTTTGTAACCTAGGTAATCAGGGTTTGAGTTACCAAAACTTTTTTCTTTACTTATTGGGTTTATCCTTCTAGGGTCAAGTATAGTGTAGTTTAAGACATTCTTAAGATTTTTGCAACATGGTTTCAAATACTGATCTGTCTAGTCTATACCAACCTGTATTTGCTAACTTGAGGAAGGACCAGGATTGGACCATATGATCCAGTATTGGTTGGTATTTATATTTTTAATATTTTCTTAAGTTGATATCATGTGGTACTGGTAAACTGGTGCCATACCTGTCCAGTAAATTACTGAAACAGGTACCAGATTGAGATTAAAAACCTTGTTTGGCAATCACCCTAAGCTGCAATTAGTAAATACAGGTTCAAATTGGAAAGAAAATTCAAAGATACCACTATTTGATATATTCATTTTATTTAATAATTTTATGATATATCATGCACCTATACACTATTATTGTTCCTCTTATGTGGCTGGGTTTTAGTGCTGACAGCAAATTTTATGTGAACTGTGTGGTTTTTTAGTATTCTCTTTCTGGATCTGCTGCATTCTTTTATTCCATGTATAAGTCATTCTGGATTTTCTTTTTTGCCCTCAATATTTTCATACAACAGCAGATCTATTCTGTACTCTCAAAACTTTTGCTTGAAATTATACTGTTATTATGTACTCTCAAGACTTCCGTACATCATATGTTGCAGGGTTAACCAGACTATGTTCTCTGGATCCACCAAGGTGGAATCTTATGCAAGTGGAGAACAAGTTAGGAATGTTCAAATGCCATCTGTTGCTCCAAAAGAAGGATCCGATGAGGAAAAAATGCTTAAAGCTGGGGATCTAAATCAAATACAGAATGCCTATCCTGTTCCTCATCTTGATAAACAGTTGCCTAAGCTTATTACACTGTCCTTGCTTCCTAGGAGCCAATGGCAAAATCTAACTAATTTGGACATTATAAAGGTTAGTTTGTTCTTGTTGAAGTTAATGAATTTAGCTGTAGAACATGCAGCCCCTTTTAAAGCAGGCTGGTATTTCCTTTCAAAGGGAATTACCTGCCTTACCTATTCCTTATGTTATTAACCTGTGGTTTGCTCAGGGTTGCTAGTGACTTTGCAAGTGATTTTTGGCTCATGCCTCAGATGTCTTACTTATTTTCTCCTGAACTCCAGGCTCGTAACAAGCCAGTTGAGCCACCAAAAAAGCCAGAAAAGGCACCTTTCTTTTTGCCCTCAATTCCATCTCTTTCTGGGGAAATATTATTTAAGCCCAATGGTGAAGCTACTGAAGAAAAGGATACGGAAAAGAAGATGACTGAAAAGAAGAAGTTGGACCTTGCTTCACAATTTATTCTGTTACTGCATTCTTGTATGGAGACAAAGAATTGTAAGTTCCCCACGATATAATTGCTAACAAAGTTTGAGAAGTAATAGGTATCAGAATTCCTCAGTTGTTAGCCTATGGGTTCTGTCTTTTTATGATGTGTTTTGGTTTCCAGCATTTAACTGCATTAGTTTCTGCAGCAGAATTAAGTAGATTTTGTTTCCTTTGTATAGCCAGTCTTTTGATATATACTAATTAATGTTCACATAAGCAAGGAATGGAATCTCATCCTAGGTCAGACCAGTACGTATTGCCTTACTGGTGTATCAACACTCGGTTTTTCAGTATGTACCAAAGAGGAAGAAGAGAAGGTGGTGGAGGAAGAGAAAGAGGAGGAAGCATACCTGAGGTCAGTGGTATGTGGTGGGTGATAGAGATGCAGGCAACGGCGGATGGCAATGGGCTCCATGCATATGGAGAAGAGGACTCATGATTTCGGCTCCGCACATATGGAGAAGATTGCTAGCCCTAATTACGTATGGACCGGACTGCCCGAAATGATGGCAGTCCATGTACCAGATCACGCCTGGACCTGTAAATACCACTCAGTATCGACTGGTTCAGGCAAAATTGCAATCCATGCACATAAGCTTTCACCTTACTGAAAGTCAGTAAACCATTTGCTTATGATATTAAGTATGCCTATCTTACTTAGTTGGATACAGTATCTAACGTGGATATTAGTTTTGCTTCCCTTTTATGCTTACGCATGTAGCACCCCTAACAGCTATGTGATGTCTGTTGAACTGGGTGCTTTGGGCTAAAATGATGGATTGGGCAAAATTAGTCAACTCAGTGTTGGAATATCTTTTTCTTCTTCCAGTGCATATTGTTCTTGAATCCTTCTGATGTTAACCCAGGGCCTGTCAACTGAGCATTTGTTAATTTTGGATTTTTTGCTAAGTTATCTGTATTATTAGGTTATGTTCAAAATATACGAGGACATGAACAAATCAAAAGTAGATGGTAAAAGTGACTCCTGATTTAGGAGTTGCAATCTCAATATACCCTGGCACTTCACTTATGTTTGCAATTGCATTTTTACATAAGCACTTGGTTTGAGACTTTCCTATGATTCTGTTGCTGGTCGTCAGCAAATTGTCAAGTGTCATTTTCTATCTCATGTATGGAGAACTGCACAAATATCATGGTGAAGCTTCTTAGAATTCTCCTCTTCCACCATGGTGCTATCCTGTGGCATTTACTATTACTATGGAATCTTGCAATTTTCGTTCTTTTTAGTGTTATATTGCTGATTATTTTTTGAATCACATGGTTGAGCTTTTTGTACTTGTTCTATTGCAGTTTCAGCATTCACAGATTATATTAAAGGTTTATCTCCCTCGAGTCTGGATTTGGAACTCCGTATGTTACAGATTATCGATGATGATGATGATGATGATGACATGGAAAGTTTAGATGAGAGATCAGAACTAGAGTCTATTGGAATGTTGTTGGACTACTTCATCCATGAGGTTTCCAGCAGGAATAACTTTGAATTTATTCAAGCTGTTATTAAATTGTTTCTGAAGGTATGTTTTTATCTGGGCCACAACTTATATAACTTGTAACTGCAGCTGAGGTTTTTGCGGCTTAAAGATTTAAGAAAAATGATTTTTGACCACAAAATACTAACTGGTTATGTGTATGCACCATTTGCACACCATGAAGATGATGATTTTCTTCTTGTGTGTGTATTGTATATCTGGGCTTGTGCATGTATTGTATATTTGTGCATTCATATGGCCGCATACACCATGAAGATGGTGTTTTTGCCTATAAGTAAAATTAAAAAAAAAAGCAAAAAACATCTTTGCTTTATCCAACAGGAAGTTTTAAAAAAATCTTCTATGCATCTATGTAATGAATTAAGACGTTAGGTTAAGGAAAACAAAGATTTATTTACATGAGACTGTATTTGTTCAAGTGGTACATGAGCTGATTTATTTACCGACTACTAAGGTCTATAATAGATGTCTCTAACCATTCTCATATTGAATATGCCAAAATTGTTTCTAGGTTTTTTTTCTCAAAACCATCATGTCTTGAGGACTGTTTCTTCTGCGGTTATAGGAGTTGTCTAGATGAATTTATAGGTTTGTATTAATGCACTATATTTTCTTCATTTTTTTTTGCAAACCAGATTCATGGTGAAACAGTGCGATGTCATTCAACATTACAAGAGAAAGCAAAGAAGCTTCTTGAAGTGCAAAGCTCAGTGTGGCAGAGGGTAGACAAAATGTTTCAGAGTGCCAGATGCATGGTCACATTTCTCAGCAATTCACAGTTCTGATTGACAGATGCCTTGTGTTTTGTGCTGCATTTTTATGTATGGACAAGGTTAGTCATTTGGTTGCTTATATATATATATATATATATATATATATATATATATATATATATATATATATATATATATATATATATGCCTAACAATATTAATATTTGATAGTCATTTGGTTGATCCATAAGTTGCATAGTTACATATTTCTATGATGTGCAATGCAGAACTGTAAGTGTATACGGTGGACTAACTCAAGTCTTATCGCCTGAAGTTACACTGACTACATCCTCAGATTCAACTTGTAGGCAGACTCCACTTACAAACTCTGGTTAACCCCATATCGCAGCAAGTCTTGCATTGGAGAACTGATTGGCCATCAGATTTTGGTTAAGAATGCAGAGGTCATGAATGACTGCTTAAGCCAGATTCAAGTTTTGGCATCCTAGTTTTGCTAAACTTTTGACCCGTGGATACATCAGCGTTCCAGAATTCTCTCACGGTGTCTGCCTGCAAACCCCTCAACTGTAGTTTGCTCTGATCTTTCAACTGCTGGATGATGCCGAGGAACTGCATAAACATCGGAAGCTTGCCTCCCAAACTTAATTGTATTTCCAGTTCTTTTTTCCCATTGTGTTGAATATTTTATTCTGTGAGCTGAAAGATTAAATGAGTAAATTCAAAGACAACGGGTAGGGGGTGCTCGTGACTTTATGTGTAGAAGGTTTATAGTGTATTTGATAATCTCATTTTGATTGATTTTTATGATAATTTTAATCTAATAAATACAGGTTGTTTGTAGTCATCGTGCAATGATCAAATTGTTCAAAAATAAATGATCCAGGCAATCATTTTGAGGTTTTTTTTAGTTCCGTCAAGTGTGGAGTGACAGTCAATGACACATGGATGGATAAGCTTTTGAGGTAGTGTTTAGGATTGGTTTGTTGTTTTATTTCTTAAGTATTTATGAGAAGTTTTGATTGTGATAGATCCTTAGATCCTTTGTCGTACAATTTAAATAATATTTATATAAATATAATATTTCAAAATTGCAATGATACACACAAGACCAAACGTAAACAGTGGTGAAAACATTTCACTCCACAGGCAACTAAAGCTGCTTCATCTCTCAAGCATACTTGCGTAACAGCAGAAGTCTACGAGACCTCAGGTCAACTCTGCAGCTCCACCAGGCATGTCTAACATTGCTACATACCACTGTTGACTTGTATGTTGATGCAGAAAACCTGTGAGAACAAAAGAACAGTACGAGTTGCTGAAAGGTCGCTAAAAAGTTCATTCAACTGTTCATGTACTAAACACAGGACTGTCTCTCGCTGAGTTCAGTAATAGTGAAAACCTGAAGTGTCAGAGGTCAGCAACTGAGTTGCATCCTCCATTTTTCATCTCATACTAAACTATTAACAGCTCAAGTTCTTAGAATAAATGGAGTCAGAATAGATCATCCTCATCGGACGAGATGTTCATATTGTTTGGTGATTCTTAGTTGAGCACACATGATATAAGTAACCATTGCTACTACTCATTGTGTTGTCACAAAGTACATTGTTGTGTGAACAAATCGGTCAAAGGTTTAAGTGTTTGGAATTGTAAATGGAGGATCTCTTGGGAAGCCTCAAACATGGATTGCTGTGCCATTTCCCAGGTAAACAATGACATGCCTGTGAGATGAGTGTTTGTTCTTGGTTCACCTTTACTGTCTTTTCATTTCATAATACAATTCAAGATCTGGTGTCTTCCATCTCCTTGTTTTCTTTCTAAAAGACAAGAGCTTTCCTCCTCAAAGCTGACCAATCCAACAAAGCCTCACTCAAGCGTGCCAAATTTTATAATGAAGAAATCTTTCTTGCAGATATTTGAGTGTTCCATATCCTCCTTCCATTTCTGAAGATATTAGAAGAGGAGACAGAGAGAGATACATATATATATATACATATATATATATATATATATATGATTAATGGATTTTTTTTTGGAAAGGTGAAAAAAAGGTAATAACCAAATGATATAAGGTAAAAGAAAAGAATGTAGAGATCTCTTTATGTCTCTTACTTCTACCTCACTAAACTGGGCTACTGCAGTAAATTTGATTTATAATCCTTTTCTCATTTCTGAATTTAATAGAGAGAAGAGAGAGAGAGATTAAAGGATTCTTTGGGAATGTGAAAAATGGTAATAAACAAATGATATAAAGTTAAGAAAAGACTGTAAAGTTTTCTTTATGTTCAGTCTTACTTCTGCATCACTAAACTGGACTGCTGTAGTAAGAAAAATTTATGATGAAGTAATCTTTCTTGTAGATATTGAAGTGTTCAGCATCTTTCTTCCTTGTACTGAAGCTAATAAAAGAGGAGAGAGAGAGAAAGATCTGAATTAATGGATTCATGGAAAGGTACAAAATGGCAATAAACAAATGGTATAAAGCTAAGAAAAGATTGTGGAGGTCTTTTTTATGTTCACAGGCTCACTTCCACCTCACTAAACTGGGTTGCTGCAGTCATAGTTTCAGTGAGGAAGGAGGGCAAAAGGTTCCTCATGGCCTTTACCTATGAATGCTTAGCCTTCCATTCTCTGGGTTGTCCTTGTTCACATCATGAAATGAGCTCAACTAGCTTTACTCTTATCCTCTCTACCTCAAACTCAAACTCCAACTGTTCTTTCTGCAGGAACAATCATATCCACTCATGTTTGACTATAAGAGTGTTTGACTATAACTTTCACTGTCCTTCTATTCAACAAAAAGAGTGTTTGACTATAACTTTCACTGTAGTTCTCCTTTCAATTTTAATACAACAGTCTGAACTCATCTTCAAATTTGCAGTTTACTTTCTCACAAGCTTCTGTTTCTCCAGAGAACATGACATTAACATTTTAGAGCAACATCATATCTAATTGAGCAGTACTTCTTAGAGAATTTACACAGCTTCTCTCTCAACATTTTTTACTAAGACTGAGGGCAAAGATTTCAGACAGCTTTTGGTGTTCATGGGGGCAAAAAAGGACACCAGCTTCTTTCCCTCAATCAAACACCTTGTGGGCACCCAAGCCCTTCGTGGGTTCTATGAATCTGATACCAATATCTGGAGCTCCTGAGAGCATCATTGTACAGGCAAAGGGGAACAGCTCTGGCACCTGAGATGAATTGGTTTTCTAGAGAGAGAGAGAGAAGGAAGAAATTACTCGGTAAAACAAGCTTCAAGAAGTACCGGCTTGGAAAAGGAAGCCCCAAAGCAGCCAGCGGACCACACCATTGCAGTCGCCCCACGTTACCCACCTACCAACCTTTTCATCGACTCCATTTCTCTACATCCCAGTGGGCCCAACTCTTATTAGCCGGTGGGTTCTGGCAGTAGGTGGGACCCGATCCTGAGGTGAGACAGGTGTGGGTTTACTTTGCGAGTGACTTAAGAAATTTCTGCTGCCTAAGCCCTCAATCAAAACCCACCATCTTCCTCTGCCTTCTTCCCCTGTTCTCACAGCTCTCTCTCTCTCTCTCTTTCTGCGGTCTCTCCGCCTCTCTCTATCCATCACAGCGAACCATAAAAATCCTGTTCTTTTTGGTTTCTGCACTCATCGCATCGGCTTCTCTCCGCTCCTCTCCTCTCGTCTTTCCTCTGAGAACTGCCTTCGTTGCCTTCCAAAATGCCTTCTTTGCGTTCAAAACTAGCTCCTTTTCCTATCTTTTCTCTTCTACCTTGCTCTTTCTCCTCCGCCTTCTGCTGCTTCTTCTTCTTCTACCTCGCTGTGTTCTTCTTCTCCTTTTCTTGCTCAGAGCCCGCCTCGGCCGACGTTGTCCTCCTCCTCAACAAGATAAAGCCTACCCTCCAAGGATCCGCAGTCAACGCCGAGCTGTCCTCTTGGAACGCCTCCCTCCCGCTCTGTCTCTGGCGTGGCCTGGGATGGTCTGTGGGTGCCAGCTCCGCAGTGCTCCGGTGCGAAGACGATTCGGCCCTTCGCTCCAACCTTTCCCTCTCCTTGGACCCCTCTCTCCGCCTCCTTTCCATCCGACTTCCAGCCGCCGCCCTCGCTGGCTCCGTCCCGCCGGAGCTCGGCCAGTTTTCCTACCTCGAGGTCGTATACCTCGGTGTCAACTCCCTTACCGGCACCATCCCCCTTGAGCTTGGGAACGCCCCTGCACTCGCCGACCTTGACCTTTCCAGCAACACCTTGGACGGAACCCTCCCGCCCTCCATCTGGAACCTCTGTGACCGCCTCAAGTCGCTTCGCCTTCACGGCAACAACCTCTCTGGTGCGGTTCCTGACCCCGCGGAGCCCAGCTCGAGCTGCGACAAGCTTAAAACTCTGGACTTGGGCAACAACCGTCTTCAAGGATCCTTTCCCAACTTCATCACCAGGTTCGGTGGGCTGGAGGAGCTCGACCTCAGCAGCAATCTCTTCTCCGGCTCGATTCCAGACTCGCTTGCGGGTCTCAGAAGCCTGCAAAAGTTGAATCTTTCTCACAACAACTTCACTGGGCCATTGCCCGCGTCGTTCCAGGAGTCCAGTTTCACGGCGGAGGCGTTCCAGGGGAACAACCCGAGTTTATGCGGCCCACCACTGGGGAAATGCGGGTCAAGTTCCGGGCTGAGCGCCGGCGCCATCGCAGGCATAGTTATCGGGCTGCTGGCTGGGGCGGTGGTCCTGGCGTCGGTGTCCATCGGCTGGGTGCAGGGGAGGAAGAGGCGTAACAGGGAAAGGAAGGCGGACGAGGTGGAGGACATGGTGTTCGAGGAGGATGGGAACAACGGTGCGGAGGGGAAGCTGGTGGTGTTCCAGGGCGGCGAGCACCTGACCCTGGAAGAGGTGCTGAACGCCACCGGGCAGGTGATGGAGAAGATGAGCTATGGGACGGTGTACAAGGCGAAGCTGGCCGACGGTGGGAACATTTCCCTCCGGCTGTTGAGGGAAGGCAGCTGCAAGGATCAAGTTGAGTGCTTGCCGGTCATCCGCCAGCTCGGCCGAGTTCGGCACGAGAACCTGTCGGCGCTGAGGGCGTTCTACCAAGGCAAACGAGGGGAGAAGCTCCTCATCTACGACTTCCACGTCAACAAATCCCTTCATGAGCTCCTCCACGGTTAGTCCATTTGCCGTCCCCCGAAATCTCTCTTTTTCTCCATCTGATCACATACAGTCATCACAGCTTCGTGCTTCGATTCGATGTCTCTGCAGATAACAGAGCAGGGAAGCCGCAGCTGAACTGGGCTCGCCGGCACAAGATAGCCCTCGGAGTGGCGCGGGGGCTCGCCCACCTCCACACCGCCCTGGAGACGCCGATCACGCACGGCAACGTGCGGTCCAAGAACGTGCTCGTCGACGATCACTTCGTGCCGCGTCTCGCCGAGTTCGGGCTCGACAAGCTGATGGTGCCGGCGGTGGCCGACGAGATGGTGTCCGCCGCCAAGTCAGACGGATACAAGGCGCCGGAGCTCCAGAAGATGAAGAAGTGCAACCCGAGGACGGACGTGTACGCGTTCGGGATACTGCTGCTGGAGATCCTGATGGGGAAGAAGCCGGCGAAGGGGAGCGGGAGGGACGGCGACGGGGCGGACCTGCCGTCGCTGGTGAAGGTGGCGGTTCTGGAGGAGGCGACGATGGAGGTGTTCGACGTGGAGGTGGTGAAGGGGATACGGAGCCCGATGGAGGAGGGCCTGGTGCAGGCGCTGAAGCTGGCGATGGGGTGCTGCGCGCCGGTGGCGTCGGTGAGGCCGGACATGAACGAGGTGGTGAAGCAGCTGGAGGAGAACAGGCCTCGGAACAGGTCGGCGTTGTATACTCCCACCGACAGGAGTGAGATCGGGACGCCATTCTGAGGCCATGCCAAGCCACTGGAGCTTCTTCTTCTCATTGGATCGGTTGCTGCTGCAGTGCTGCTTCCAAAGGGATGAAGAAGAAGAAGAAGAAGAAGAAGAACATGTGATAGAGTAGAGAGAGAGAGAGAGAGAGTAATGCTGGTGAGAATAGTGGATTGCTTAGTTTGCTGCTACACAGTGAAACCTTCAGTCTGAAGAGTGTCTTTTGTTGGATGAGGAGAAGGCAGATGAACTCTTCCTTCTTCTTCTTCCTTGAGCTGATGACCAAAATCGATGGCATTATGTATTCTGTGGATCTTTTCAGAAGAAATTGTGAGTCTTTTTGGTTTGATAGCAGCCATATTTGTTTGTGTACAAGAGATGGGTGACAGACATGTTTGTTCTAAAGCTTTGATAGCTTGTCACTGTGAGTGGATGGTTTGGATGTGCACTGAAACCATTATTTTGTCCTCTCCTCTCATGTCTGAAGAGGTTCTTTTCTTGGACAGCAAAGATGGATCAACTCTTCTTGCTTGAGCTCATGCCCATGATTTGCATTATTGTGTTTCTTGGTTCATCTTTCTGGCATCAAAGGAAGAACTTTGTGAATTTATAAGATGATTCTATGGTGCTTATTCATGTCACTCAATCCTTTTGTAAGAGTGTTTTTTGACAATTAACATGATCGTAGCAAATTTTAGGAAAATCCAGTAAGAGAATAGAATTTTTATCAATAGATATTTTTATATTTCTTTTTCATTTCACATCAAATGGATGACATAAAAATCTTAGCTATAAAAATTGAACAGAATGAAATCTATGCTTGTTTGAAAGATCCAATAAATAAAATGTTGTCCACAAGTTGTATGATGAGATGGTCGACGCCGTGCTCGGTAGACTCCGAGCTCAAGTCGTACGGTTGACGGCATCCGCGAGGCTTTGAGACGGTGGACAGAGACCGCCGCAGTACGGTTGACGGCATCCGCGAGGTTGGTGGACAGAGACCGCCGCCGCTGCGGTCTCTTCCGGGTGCGGGGAGATTAGCGACTCCCGTGTCTCGGCCGAGGGACCAAACACGAAGAGGTGGCCAGCCGTTTGGCTTCCTTTTGTGGGTCCCATATGTGGGTCCGAAACAATGGCGAATAGAAACTAACGCTTTTGTGCTCGGTGGCTCGGGAAGGTTACGGCAGCTGCAAACCGCGAGCATCTGCTCCGCCTACCCCCAATTCCTTTGGTCTTTTTAGCTCGATGTTGCGCAATGTGAAGAGGAGAAATTGTTGGATGGGCAGACTGCTTTATTTTTGACCATATACTGCCTAACTTTTCCCATTCGTATGATAGACACTAAAAAAAATGACACCTACCCATTTATGATTTATTAATTCAAGAACATAAAAAACACCTAATTGTCAAGAGGTCAATAATTTAGACTGTCTTTTACGTAATGAAAGCAAGTTTTTAATTTGTCTTTGTTGATTAGGCATGTTAAACGCTTGTCTATAATGTCTAATATATGTCTTAGGGTTTACTAGATCTTTTATAGTTCATTGTCAATTACATTTGTATTTAAATGATCATTTTTAACCAAAAACAAGGTATATGCATCTTGCAATAATTTACGTATAAATTATTTGGGCTAATTATGCATTAGCTCCTCAGTAATTTAGTTATAATATTCTGGTCTCTATACTTTAAAAAGTTATATTAACATTCATATACTTATGAAAATGAAACATCTAAATCCATTTACCCTAACGACATTGGTTTTACTAACGAAAACATGAAAACAAAAGGTACAAAGATAATTTTAATATCTCAGTTTGTGATGGTGGACGACATCGATGGTGGCAGATGACGATGACATTAGGGGCCGAGGATGGGTGTTGTGGATGAGGAGAGCAGCAATGAAACATGAACATTGCTTTGCATTTGCATCAATATCGATGTAGTTACTAATCAGCAAAAGAGTCGCTTGATATTTGCATCGACGACCCTTTTGCCGCTCTGTATCTATGTCGACGTCGACATAGTTGCAAAGCGACAAAAGGGTCGCCCGATACATGCATTAACACCGATGCAAATATAGAGCAGTGTCGCTCGATAATAATGTCAACATCGACGTAGTTGCCAAGCAACGAAAAGATCATCGAAGTAGATATAAAGTGGCCCTCACCTCTCGTTGCTGCTCTCCTCATCCACAACAACCACCCACGACACTCAACGGTACCTCGTCCACCACCACCAATGACATCCGCCATCACTAACTAAAATAATAAAATTATATTTTTATCTTTTATTTTTTTATTTTCATTGGTAAAACTGATGGTGTTACAGTAAATGGACTTAGAAGTTTTACTTTCATAATTATAGGGATGTTAATATAATTTTTTAAAGTATAGAGATCATGATGCTAAAGGTAAATAACTACATGGGTAATATGTAATTAACCCAAATCATTTCCAATATCCAATTTCTTCGTATTGTGATAATATAACATTCATGATAATTAAGTGCGTAAGCATCAAGGCAGTTGTCGAACGATGAAAGGGACGCTTGGCATCTCTATCAACACCAACGTATATGTAGAGTGACGCCGCTCGACAATTGCATCAGCGTTGATATAGTTGTCAAGTGACAAAAGGACCATCGATATAGATTCAAAGCGGCAAAAATATTACTCAGCAACTACATCGGAGTCAACACAGAAGTGATCCTCACCTCTCGTCACCACTATCCTTATCCACAATAGCCACATGTAGCCTCTCGTGGCATCGCCGTCCACCACTACCAATTGAACATTAAAATTATATATACTTTTTTATTTTTATTTTTTGTTTTAAATTTTTTGTTAGTAAAATTGATAGTGATAAATAGATTTAGATATTTCACTTTAAAGATGCTTATGTAACTTTTTTAAGTGTTGAGATTAGGATGATAAAGATAACTAAATAGATGGATAATCTATAATTAGCCTAAATTATTTCTAATATTAAATTTCTATATATTGTGATAATTAATATTTATGATATATATATATATATATATATATATAACATTAAAAGTAATTATAATATTTTTAACATCATAATGAGCTCTTAAAAGATATAGATGCCAACATAGACACCAGCAAATGGTTCATGAAGTAGGTGGTCAAAATTGATAACCTTTTATTTCTTTTATTTCTTTTCGCTTTTCTATTTCCTTTCCAACCTTAGAATAGTTGACTGAGCCTCACTATTGTATGCTGTCGTCAATGTGGTGTGGTCAAACACACTAATGGCTTAGACAAGTCAACTAGGGATATCACATGGTCAATGCCCCCAATCCAACCACCTACAATTTTCATTTTATTGACTTTTTGACTCGAATCGATATGATTAAGGACCACATGGTACTTAGAAAAGTCAAAGCTAATCACCCCAATCTTGATTTAACATTAACTAAGTAGTAGGTTTTTATTGCAACATTATGGTTTATGTCGTTTTCTTGTAATTAGTTTATGAATATACAGTTAAAATACCTAACAAAAACCTTTGTTAACATAAGAACAAGTATTACACAAGGCGGGTCTAATATTAAAGTCTAAGAACCATTTTGTTCTTGATCTCAATTCAATAAATAAGTTCAAATTAATTAGTAAAGAGAGTTCCAAGTTGGATCTTATCCATTTGACACAGGAGACTATAAGAAAAAGAAAAACAATATTACCAAATTAATGACATCAATCGTTTCACATGTAATTGATTTCCAACAATAATATTCACAATGAAAAAACTTATCATAACAGAGAATAACGAATGGATAAATATTTGCAACTTGAACAAAGATATTAGGCAATTTTTCTCAGCTGTAATTATCCACCACTCATCAGACAACCAAAGATTGCAGAAATACAACGTAAATGAAAGTTCAGCGGAATTCGCAATGTTGATCGATCAAATTTGTTCCCACAATCAACAGCTTTATGAATAAAAATGTTCAATGTTCCAGGAAGAAAGCTAAAGAAGTTTTTAAGTTCAACAAGACCGACTAATGGCGACCTCAAAAAATAAGCAACTGTGGTGGTGCAAACACCAGTCGCCGTGAAGTCACAATAGAAAGCATGGAGTCACCGGTATGATTCCGGACGCTTGGGTTTGCTTTGAACAGCTGCCTCTATCTTCTCGATTACATCGGGCGTCAGCTTGGGAATGACCTCAAGAGCCTGTATGTTCTCGACGATCTGTGTTGGAGACATCACAAATGTGGAACAAGACAAACAATGGGGACATCAAACTCTTTTGGAGATCTTGAAAACAAAATAGCAAAATTCGCTTCTTTGTATATCGCGACATTATATGTACTAGAAGAGAACTTCCTTATAGCCAACTGTCTTGACACATTATAGACGCGCTTCTACCCGGTGACTGGCCAACAACATTGGCCATTCTTGTTAAAATATATCAAATTGGACATCTAGGAGATGCAACAAAACTGAAGGGAGGAGGCATCTCGGTATCACTCTCCTACTTCAGCTGAACTGCCTTTTACTTACCTGAACAAGATTCTCCGTTCACAAAATAAGCAGTCAGCGACCCTTTTGGTGCATCGTTTCGTCTTCCTATTTCTGATACTCAAGACAATCAAACTACTTAAGGAATCAAGCTACTGTTCTTTTTCCCCCTATAAACTGGTGCACCTTGACCCTCTAGTCTTACTAAATTTCAGAACTAATTCCACTCTATGAAACTAGAAAGGTCACAAAAGAATTAGAATCTTTAATTGAATAAATGATGAAAAACATAGTGGTGAAAGTATTGGATTTCATGAGATTTGGATAAGGTTTAAATCAGACACACAAAAGAACATATCTAGATGTTTTGAGGATCAACAACATCAGGAAAGAAAATCTTAATTGCAAAAGTTATATTTGAATCAGCCCTTTGTCACACGACAATATAAAAATCAACCACAAAGTGCTTCTTAGTGATCATTTATGTAATTGCAAGTACAAAATGCAAGCTACCTTCAGATAAATCCTGCATTATCTACTAAGAGTTAGAAAAATAAAACAAACAAACAAAATTTTACTGTCTTTTAGACTTGATAAACCTTCAAAAGTACACATTTGTACTTTTGATATTCTTATGTAAAATCTTCAAGCTAGGAACAGTAAGCAGGATTGCCTACCTGCATCTCATCTTCCTACTGACACCAAATGTATGTTATCCAGAGCATTAATTCAGAATTAGATCACAGGTAACACCAAAAAACCAAATGAGATCATAGGTCCAATCTTGTTAGGATTAAATATGGATTGTATTTATGATCCGATGACCCAATAGCAACCTGATCCAGCAATTCAGTGCAACTTCGGATAAAATATGGATCAACCCTGTCAATTCATGCATAGCCCTAAAGCTCATTCCTGTCAGGTTGCAAAGGCTATCATTTCTTAATAATTGATAACCATGCTGCAACCATCAAAATTTTCCACAGCATTATATAATGGTTCCATTTCTTTTGTTCTCCTATTGATGCTTCGCTTCCTTGATCCCTACTTGACAAAGACATAACCATGCTCAATACTTGTCATCTCTCGTGTCAAGGATTACACATAATGACACTAAAGGAACTAGGTTCAGGTAGTGCCAGCAATTTTAAAAGTTGTGTGTCAAGATAATTCCAACACTCAGGGTCCTTTGTTTAGACCTCAACTTGTTTCATACTTTGCTCACATTATCTTTTTTGCTAAGTCTATTTGTTCCTAGATAATATATTGCTTCAAGAAATTTTTTGATATAACTACAGAAATCAATCAAAATTTTTATAGATACTGAATTTTCTTCCACAGGTACTTCAACTCTAAGATTTACACATATAAGGAATAACTCATATGTAAAAGAAGAATAATTGCATATACTAGATATTGTGCATATCACATACCTGACTCTCCTTCGTGGCCCCAGTAATTACTGTTGAAACATGTGGATTTGATGCACACCAAGCAATTGCAAGTTGAGATAAAGGAACACCTAGTTCATCTGCAATTGGTTTCAGTCCATTAACTTTCCTTAGCGTGTCATCAACCAGTGATCTGCTTGCAAGATTCTAACAAGCAGAAAACTATAATTAGAATCCAACAACAAAAAAAGGTTAACATTAACAAGAATGAAAAGTAGATTACTATAAAAAAAATCAAACTAATCAAGAGACTAACAAAGTATTAAGATAAAACAAGAATAACCAGGGTTAAGGTTTTCATTACTGGCCAGGAAATTTTTAAAAATTATCACAAGCCAATAGTTTCTTTGTGGCAAAACCATCCACCATTTCCAGAATAGTTTACTAAAATGATTACTGCCAAAGAAAGAGTGATCTTTTCTGATGAACTCACTGATACCTCCTTCCTACATCTGTAAAAACAATGCAAAACAAAGAAACATCTGACTTTGACCTAAGATTAAAATTGGACGATTGTCATGGTTCATAATTACCACAGAGCATTCCCTCATCAGCTGGTTGCACATGGTACCATTTTGTCCAAGGTGTAATCCTTCTTAATTGAACAAACCAGAACTTATTATAAATTGTCTCAAGACAACATATGACTTGAAGAAATGAGAATATATATCAAACGGAATGTAAATGATAAAAATGAAAAATAATGAAACCAATACATTAAAAGCTAAGTACAATAAACATTAGAAAATATATATTTATTATATAATTTAAAGAAAATTGTAGTAAATGACTATACAAAAGACCCAAAACTTGCCCACCAGCAACCTCAAAGGGAGTGGTAAGACCACAAAAGTGAAAGTAAAGAAAACTTATTTCCTTCCATAAGATTTTTTTTTTGAAGAGACCTGCCATAAGATTTGCAATAAACTCCAGATCCCATGATATCTCCTTTTTTATCATAGAATTCTTGTTCTTTTAAGAGGTTTATAGAAATGCTCTATCATCTTTTATTCTCTTTTTCACATTCTTTCCTTCTTATCTTATATGATTGTTAAAAGCCAACATCCTTGAACGTAACAGATGGCAAATGTGATTTCTTTTGTACGTAACATCCTTGTACGTAACAGTTAGAATGAGTGTCCTACTATGTCTCATAATTATACTCACTTTTTTGTCTTTCTTGATCTTGATTTCCTTTTCTCCCTCCACCCTTGCATTCCCCTTTTCTTTCTCTTCTTTTGTGGCTATACGAAGAGGTTAAAATTGGCCAATTCCAATTGACTTTGATTAGTTTCAAATAGATTCAAGACAAATTCTGACTGTAAGACCAAGAAATAGGACAACAGCTTGGAAGATACCAATATGGATTGGGTGTATTGTACTGGTTACGGCAATGAACCATGGTTCTATGATGACTATAAGAGGCTGATAACAAGTATCCATGATAATCAATGCCCTCAAGAAAGAAATGCTAGAGTCCTTGAGCTGATCAAGTGCTCTAATAGTGTGATACCACCGGAAAGTGAGATTGAGATACAAGTGGCAACTACGTCACATCAACATGCTCATTGGTGCATTGAAACCTTCACCTTGACCGTTAATTGGTTTCTGCAAGAGCCTAGATTTTATTACGGTAAATGTTACTTTACTTTAGTAGACAACCCATATTTCATGCAATGCTTTGGAATCTCATATGGATATCCTATGAAATCCTAGAATGTCATCCAAACATCATCAAAATCTAAAGCTAGAATGTTCACCCAACAAATCCCATTTTATCCAAATTCCACCCTCAAAAGCCTGGGATTCAAATTTCAATACCTCCTTTGCCATGGATGCGGGTCTGTGCTAAACATTCTCAAATCCCACCTCCTCAATCCCACAATCCAAATCCCAAATAAACTCATGATTCAATTTCCAAAGGTACCCATGGAATTTTTAAACTACAGATCTGACGTGTATTTGTTCCAAACATTTTCAAAATCTCACCTCCTAGATCTCACACTCCAAATCCCAATATCATGATTCAAGTTTCGAAGGTAGCCATGGAATTTCTAAAATCTAAACCCTGGTATTTAGGCATTCCCACCCCAATATATTAAATGCTTGAAATCCCTCAACTAATGACAAATTTTGATTCTCATTTCAAACTTGGAAAATGTCTAATTTGAAACTTCGTTCTTTGGATGTTTGGACTTTGGAGAAGTCATAGACTTCCAAATACTCACCAAACAGCACACCAATACCTAGTATCCCCATTTTTACAAATGAAAGGAAAGAACTAGTTTAGCTTTCTTCTTTGCTCATCCTCATATCAAGTTAACTTTATGAAAGCACAACCAACCTGCTAAGGAGATTATGAAATGACCAAGATCCAATAATTGAAAGCAGATGAGTTTCTTACAATGCAAGAGAAACTCAATCTAGGTCAGGTATTGAATACTTCAGCAGCATGATCATCCCATGGGATTATCTAACCCGAAAGTAATACGACACACTATTGATGGGACCAAACTGATACTGCCCAAAGTTTCGAAATACTCCATTGCAGTTAAACTCGAAACTTACTGATTAAGGTAAAAAAAACATAATTGCATATAATGAGTGATTAGTGTTTTCAACCTCACCTTGTAATTATCCAGTGCAAACCGACTATCAGGTGGTATATTTCCTTTGTTGTATTTCCCAGTCAAAACTCCTGATGCTAACGGACTCCATGTGGTAAGACCCAGGCCATAAGTGCTGTACAGAGGAAGGAACTCCACTTCAACCTGTACCAACATCCAATAAATACTAAGCACAAGTTTTTGTTTGTCAAATTCCAAGCTAAATTTTTCATAAAATATGCAATGTTAAATGAAACATGGTTCTAACTTAATAGTATTTTCCTTTTATGAAAAAATGAAACATGGTTAATATTTATAATATTTTAGTTCTATACTGCTTTGCAAGACTATTTGCTGACAGATATTACGAGCTTCAGAAAAATAGTTGACTTCCTGTTTTCGACATCATCCAATTTCCAAGGTATTTCAGATATTAAATTTTACAGGTTTTAAACTTGGCATACTAGTTCGTTCCAGATTACTGTGTGCTCTATTCAACGGGCTGGTTCAAACTATGATTGTGGGATGTGATGATCATTCCAAATACATAGTTAAATCAGATTTTTCAAGAGTGCATGTTTGAGCATGGTTCACCATATGGTCACATATACTGAATTATTCAGGGAAATGGAACAATGTAGTGTTTAACACAGAAGCAGGCCAGTATAGTAAATGAATGAATCTAACATATAATAGGGAAACAAGGACATGGAATAGTCTAATACAAAAGCATTATTACAGAATTGAGATGATAAATGACTGGATCTGTCTCATATCAACATAGACTTCAACACCCAAGGAAAAGGCCACCCAGCAAAATAATGGGAGAAATTTTGCACGCAATGACAAGGCAGTCATGGCAATCACAAAAGCAGAGCCGCAGCATTAAAATGATTTGGTAACTTCAATGCTCCCAACTCATTGACATCCTACAATCCTTTTTCGTTATGTAGAAAAGACAAACACTCAGGAAAACAGATTCATACATTTCAAAATCATGCAAGAAGGGATAAATCAACTAGGGTCCAGTTCTTGCATATAAAATATATCTTTATTTAATAATCAACATACAAATTGTAACTAAATAGAAAACAAGTAAGAAGGTGCCCATCTGTTAGCAAGGAAACAACAATCACTAGGACTTTTCCTCCATATCCAAACTTGTAACAGATCACTTCTCTTTTGAATGCAAAATTATGATATTTTCTTATCCTTTTGTCATATCTTCTCCTATCCTCTTCATCCAACCATTTTCTCCTACACCCACAGTCTTTTACTCTTATTACATAGATGTAACCTTTGCATTTAGTAATGTTGCTTTACAGAGTTGCAGTGAAGTATTTCATGCTAAATGACCTAAAGAGTGATAATTTTATATGCAACTTCTAGTTCAAAGAGAGAAAATATTAATATAGGAACTACTTAACTCTTTCCTCGCTATTAAAGATAATCAAATCCCAATGAAAAACTTTATACAGACCTCTAGACAGGCAGACAAGGACTAGAAAGTTCAGCAGTTTGATATAAAGCCACAAACCTAGTAAACCTTAAGTACACTGATGTCTAGAAGAGTCACCAAATTTAACATAGAATAACACCTTTCTTGTCGGCCAGTTTTTTTCCTAGATAGTAACAGCAATTTAGCATTCAGCGAGGTATACTGAAATCAGTATTTCACGCTTCAAAACCATTTCCGAACTTCTGCCTCAAAGCAACTACAGACATTGAATAGTAATAAGAGAAATTACTGGAAATAAAAGAAAGAACCCCTCGATTGGAAGGTGCAAAATTGGTAGTATGATGAAGTACTTGAAAAATATAAGCAAAATTGGTAATATGATGAAGTCCTTGAAAAATATATGGTGATTATAAAACAACACATCCTTTTAAAAACACCGAAGCTTAATCCATATCAGAATCATAGCAAAAGCCAAGCGAAGACAAAATGTCGTAATCCATTCAACGAGTCGATACCAAAACGAAACCATGTGAGAATCGTTCAGTCAGCCGCGAACTCAAGATCCTTCAATCAAAAACCCTCAAAAAGGGTACTTTTCTAGAAAAGGAATAATAAGGAAAACCACCGCATTAAGATATCATATCACAGAGATCTTGGCATTGATTACAACTAAAATTAGGTCAGACGAGAGATTACCTTGTGGCGCGACAGGAGGTTGTACTCGGGCTGCTCGACGATGGGACCGACGAGGTCGAGGCGGTGAGCGACGGCCCAGGCCTCGGTGATCTGCTGGGCGGACCACTCGGAGGTGCCCCAGTAGAAGGCCCAGCCCCTGTCGATGATGTGGTTCATGGCGCGGACGGTCTCCTCGATGGGGGTGGCGGCGTCAGGGCGGTGGCAGAAGAGGACGTCGACGTAGTCCATGTCGAGGCGGCGAAGGGAGGCGCGGGTGCCCTCGATGAGGTGCTTGCGGGAGAGGCCCTTGTCGTTGGGCCCAGGGCCGCCCCAGAAGATCTTAGTGGAGATGACGAGATCAGAGCGGCGCCAGCCGAGCTCGCGGATGGCCTGGCCCATGATCTCCTCGGCGCGGCCATTGGCGTAGACCTCGGCGTTGTCGAAGAAGTTGACGCCGTTGTCGCGGCAGCACTGCAGCAGCGACTTCGCCTCCTTGACATCGATCTGGTTCCCGAACGTCACCCACGCCCCGTAGGAGAGCTGGCTCACCTTCAGCCCCGACCGCCCCAAGTTATTGTACTGCATCTTGATCTGATCCCCTCTTCTTCTTCCTCTTTCCTCTTCGCCCCGTTCGTGGACGCGAGACGTACTACGTTTGTGCGGGCGCAGAATGGATGGTAAAGCCGCCGCGGTAGTTATATATAGAAGGATCACGAACAGGAAAATAATACCTATTTGACTGCCGTACTTCCTCAAATTTTTACCTATTCTCTTAGTGGTTCAACATGTACGAAGAAGCCCTTTGGGACCCACACGATTACTGGTGAAGGAAGCCAAAGGGGGATTCGAAGAGTAGGAGTCGGGAAAGCGTTTATAAGGAAAGCAGAGCATCAGGTGTGGCGGATGAATGCCAGCTGGCGCCTGTGAAAATGCATTGTGTGTGGACGACCAAGCGAGTATTTAAACCCGAATCCGAACACAATCCTATTAACTTAAATTCCACGATATGGTCGATTAAAACAATATGATCAGTGAGTAATTACTTTAAAGGAATTTAATTGATATAATTAAAGTAATTCAATTAGATATAAAAACTCTTGAAAACCTGTTCCAGATTATACTCGTGCAATTCCAGAAGGATTGCATTGCCTTAGAGAGATTTAACTTGGGAAGTGAAGGGATTTAAACGTAAAATAGCTCTATTTTCAGAATAAAAACAATATTTTCTCACATTTTTTCTGATATGGTTCCTAAAAGAAATAAGAATGCGAGCTTAGTAGGTTGAAACTATTATAAGTGAGAACCAATTTTAACGAAACAAAATTAAACGTCTTCTGCTTTATCGTAATTTGAAGCTCTCTAAACGCTCTGTTAAACCAAATAATCAATCATCGATCTCACCAACGAAAGACAACTGCGTTGCCACTTAAGTCGCGAACGCTGGCAGCCTTCACCGTTCCAGTAGTCGCGACTTAAGTCCTCCGCTAAGCGATGATATGAGCGGACGAATCCACAGCAGGTTGTCCAATGACAGAATCCAACGGTCCAATTTCACCTAGTATTCGTGCAGCAAATCAAGAATCACAGGCTTCTCTAAGCAATCATTGAAGACAAAGTATACGCAAAAGATTTCATATCATGGATCACAGAATCTTACTGAATTCATGAAGACCGACAAGTAGATGCAGCAAGCATAAGGCAAACATTGTTTCATTTGCTTCATGCATGGGCTAAGTAGTTGTAGTGAAGAAAAAGTTATGACAACTCAACCAATCAGCAGCATTTTCCTTCTATATTATATAAGAACTGAAGCAATATTATAAGTCAACTATGGAAGATTCAGAGAGGAGGATGCAGATCTTTAAAGAAGAACATTGAAGGGCAAGAAATATAGCACGTCAAACATAGAAAGCAGAACTTACAGCTTTAGAACGATACGCTGTACAAATGACTTGATGGATAAGCTGAACTACTGCACAGGCATGACAAAACAATGTACAGATGATCAACTGTGAAAGCCGATTGATTCCTCATAGAAACAGTTACCACCTACTGCTCTGATCATCTGATATGGTTTCCTCGGAAGATACATCGCTGTCGATGACCACCAAGTTACTCGGTCCAGTGGGATCAGGACTTTTGTTGTTTAGATCCAAGACATGACTTGGTCCAGAACCAGTATTAGCAGATGCTGGTTTCAGTGGGGTCAATCCTAGATTTGGTAGTGAGGATAATCTTTTCTGCAACAAGGTATCATCCACCGATACTGAGTTATCCAACACCTTTACCCTGTTGGCATGATTACTAGAGGCCTTGCTCTTCCTCTTCAATATTCCCCGTCCACGGGGATCTTTAGGCAGAGCAGTTTCCACGGCACTTTGAAAAGCAGTAACTCGCTCATCATAATTAATAATGCTTCCAGGATTCAAGCTTGAAACTCCAGAAGGCAATGGCAAACTACTTCGCCTTTGAGGCACAGTCAACACTTCTTTGAGCCAATGAGGGAGAGTACTATTTGCAGAAGATCTTTGCTCATGTCCTCCTCTTTCAACTGATTTTTGAGGTGAAGTAGATGATTCGCAGTCGTACCTGGTGCCTTGTGTTTTGAAAGCATTCTGATGTCTGATGTCTGCCCTTGGGTTAACAGAACCTATGAGGTTACTGCCTATGAAAGGACCTGCCATTGAATTTCTAATTCCGTGAGGATTAGCAATGGATAAACCTGATATATTGGGTACTACATTTTTCTTGATGTTTTTCTCACTCTGAACATATACATCTCCAAGAGAAAGTTTAGTTTCTGTTCTCTGTGTCGGAAATTCCAAATATGATGAAACAACTTTCTCACAATACAAATTCCTACCTGTTGCTTTTCTCCAGCATGTGTCATCTGTTCCAAGAGGCCTTGAAAGATCTAATACTGAAGGTCTTTCTGGATGATAGAGTGTACCATTAAGAAGCTTAATTTGTTCTTTATCCCACTGCAAGGCCAAGTCTTCTGCAACCCTCGATTTTAAGAAACATAATTTTGGATCCCTTAAGATATCATTCCAATTGTTTAATCCGTGTCTTCTCACGCCAATCCAAAGAACATCTAATTCTTCTTCTGACCATTCATCTGAGAACCTCTTAAAGTTGTCCAGCAAAGAGCTTTCTTTTGGCATCCGTGAGCCATTCATATCATTCTCACACACCTGCTTTTGTCTGGATACAGATGCATTCTCACCCATGCTGTCCCATCTGTGTTGCCTATTGTATCCCTCAACAGTGTCCTTGAAATTCAAATCTAATGGCAATGGCATACCTCGGATATCATTCATGGAAACACTAAGCACTTCAGAATTCAATATAAGAGACTGATCTGCAAAATCAGTATACATAGAGTTGTGTGATGCCCTCTCACGCTGTTGTTTTTCATAAATAGAGTTATTTGACTTTGTCACCAAGAGTCGTTCCTGTAATCGGGATGCCCGATCAATGCATTCTCTGGATACATCCTGCAGTCAAGTTACAATACAGTATTTTTACATCTGATAACATAAATGGAAAGAAAAAGATATTTAACTAAAAAAAATTCAATACAACAAGAAACCCTGTGGATTAATATGAAAAGATAAAACACAAAGATCAATATTTGATAACTACGATGGTTTCAAAGCCCAGAAAATTATAGAAGAAATTGATGCAACAAGAAGATGAAATATTCAACTTCTATGCTAAGCTTCACCTGATTGACCTGAATCTTTGTAGATGAATTAACTGGGTAAGCTGTGGAAGCCCTTCCACTTGATGCTATTGTGCAATTGGTACTGTTTTTATTAATAAGAATGGATGACTTTGTTTCTTTTGTGGTCTCCTGATGTGATTTTTCAAGCGTTTCCATCCACTGCAATCCTTTGGCTCGACCATCAGTTTCCTCATCCATCCTACCTAGAGCACAATTTTGAGCTGATGGTCTTTGTGACTCCAGAAAGTTCTCAGCCATAGCATCCACAAGTGGTCTAGTTGGGTTTGAGCTCGTAAGATGAGTTGAAACCACTGGGACAACCAACAGCTCCGCCCCTCCTACATGACCTCTCTCCTTTGTAAATAATTCATTTCCCTCTTCCCCTCGTATGGATGTCCCAGTTTTGGCCATCTCTGATTGCTTGCTTTTGTGTGTAGGGTCTTTGCTTAAATCACTTGTAGGCATCCCAGTGCATTTATCAGATTGACACTGAAGAACACGTTCTGAATATTGTAAAGAAGTTGTACCCTGAGGAGCAACGTCTGGTTTTGGTTGACATGGTTCTTCGCATTTGTCTGCAGTGCTACTAATAAACACAATGGCATTTCACTTTAAAAGCACTGAAACAAAGAAGACAGAAACAAGAAGCAAAAAGAAAAAAGAAAAATTTACCCTTGTCCAGAAAGCTTAGGCCCTAGCCCGGCATCTTTATTGACGTCATGCATCTACCCAGCACATACAACAAATGTTCAGTAACAGGAAATATTTCGGCACAAACTCAAAGAATTTAATGTCCATAAAGGGATGAAGTTTCCATTCACCACTCATTAATTGAAAAATTAAGAAGTCCTTCAAAAAAATATAAGCAACATAACCATAATATTTTCTGTTAACAAGCATGTACAAGCAAAAGAATAAAAGATGCCGTATTAGTTCCTAAACACAGGTAGACAGTGATAGACAGCCATTTTATTTTCTATTCGAATTCCAAGTTCCAACAAGCATGAACATGCAAAAGATTCATTTTAAAACATGTAGTAACCAAACTCCAACAAGCTCTTATGTCCTGAACTACACATCAGACCATGAAATTTAACATGGTGAAGATTTTTCATTTCAATTCTTTTTTTATGAGATGACCATAGAAAATGGCTATCATCAAAAAGCATCAGACCATCTTCAGAGAAAAAAATTGTCTCAAGTCAACATGCCGGTTTATATGGTAGAAGGAACACATCAAGGAATTTGGCATAATGACGTTTTCATAATTTGAACTATGATGCCCAGCCATAGTGGAACTGGAGCCGACTCAAAACTGCACCATGGGCAAGTCTAGACAGTATTCTTAGTTTGCTGGATCTAGCCTCACAGAAGGATGAAATAGTCAATACTAATTATAGAATTTGATTTCAACCTCATCACTAGTCACTGGCACAGTTTCATTTAACTCTTATTCTCTTACTCTTGTTGCATAAGTAATTAGTCTAGAAAAAATTGGATTCTAATCAACAAGTACGAAGAGAATATATATCATATACAAGAAAGATGATATCAATCACAAGGATGCTCCAGATGTACTGTGTACCAGCCAATTGTGTTTATATCAAGCCGAAATATGAGAACTAGCCACAACCTTTTTTATCTATAGATTCTATACTACTTACTTTTGATGACTTGGGAGCAAATTCTAAACATAGAACCACATGGAATGGGAATGGCAATATAAGTTAGAAAAGGAGCGCAATGTTATTAACACAACCCAACAAAGAGATGAATAACTCAGTTATTTCAGTGACAATAATCTTAAAAGGCTGGTTTATGGTAACAAACTTTTTCCTTACATGGGCTGTAACAAATTTAAACTCAAAACTATATTTTCAACATCGAAAATTTTTATCTTTGCATTAAGATCCTACAAGTCGATGTGGGGAAAGATCCATATAACCAACCAAGAAGTTTGTAAGTTATGGCTTTTTCTTCTTGTTCTTGAAGATCTCATAGGGAGACAAGCAAACCTGAGAAAGTTAAAGGTGGGCACAAGGATTGTTGTCTTTTTGGTCAGTATGGACACAAGGGAGGAACTTCACTGGCCAATGTGATTTTTTGTTCATAGATGCTGATATCCTTGCATAATTAATTTTTTTTTCTAATGACGATATTTGACTGAAGTTTTTTTCATTCATAGATGACTGATATTATTGCATAATTAAATTTTGTTCTCTACCATAGCCAGAATCTACAGAATAAGCTACTTTGTGACACTTTGATGTCTAATACAATCAGAAAAACTCTTAACAATATATACACATACATATGAAGTTCAATGGTGACTAATTTTCTTGGCTTGGTTGCATTACTGTAAAATAAAATCTGAGTAAACATTATCAATATTCAAAATACAGCTTTTATCATTGAAATCATTTTGTACAATAAAATACACTGTTATCTTTCTGAATATTCCACTTCTGTCTATAATTCTTAAAGTTTCATGATCAAAAGAACCTCTAAAGTTTTAATTTTTGCTTAATTCTACATATCTTAGCAATAATAATTGCTAGTACACATTAGATCACAGCCCATAATTCTGTAAGTAACAAGAAAAAGGCATATAACAGGGTTGGCAGAGTATGATGCAAGGTTTTCGAATAGTAATAAGTATCAGACTTATGCTTTAGAGAGAGAGTTAGTAGAAGTCCAAACCCACATCCTCTTGAAGAGCATGCAGTCGGCTAGGCCCATCTGCTTCCAACAAGAAAGTTGAATCTGAACATCTACAATTATTTCCTAATTCATGGCTCCTAGAAGTCACCATTGAACTATGCTTGTCTTCAGCACTTGAATTCCTTGTGGTTGATGAACTGACTACATCCCGTTTCTTTTTCACTCTTCTACGAAATGTAATCAAGAAATTCTTAGTGTTCCCTTTTGGATACTCATCATTCAATATTATTCCACTTCTTTTATCTGAACTGACTACCATGGAGGCACAGTCCTCTGAGAATCTGGAACTAGTATTCCTTTCGGTCCAAGTTTTCAAATGCAAGGAACTTGATCTTCCTACAGTCTCCAAATTTGTTGACTGAGATCTCAAAGTCTCTTCAACAACTCGGCACGCAGAACCAGATTCTATACCCAAGTCATTTGCGGATGCCCGATTGACTATGTTCTCCATAGATGGATCTACTGGGGAGGGGCTTCCATTCCTAGAGCTGATTTCAGATGGTCCTGAACTCGAAAGCACTTTTTGGGTATGCAGTTTGATTGCACCTGTCTCAGATTCCCCAATACTTCTGTTTTCTGTTGTTTTGCTGGTCTGATAAGATTGGTGTTGTATAGATATCTCGGAATCGCATCTTTCATTACAAGGAGGGCATAGCCACCTATCTTCAGATACATTCTACACATAACAAAGGACAAAATCATCAGACCAACATGTTAGTATAATGAGAATATCCAGAAAACATTAGACACTAGTAGAGTACTAGTAAACCTTCAAAGAGGAGTCAATGCATCGAAGATGATAGCTCCCAGAGCAGCTATGGCACACCAGCAGATTCTCATTTATGTCAACAGAACCACACCGAAAGCAATGCTGCAATAATGGCATGAAATATGAGGATGTATTATTTCATACATATTTAATGGTGAACAAAATCAAGCAGGAGGAATAAGAATCCACAGGTTACATATATATATTTAAAGTAGGAACCTTTTACTGGAAGACTATATTACACATCAGAAAAGGACAGCCTAGCGCATGAGGCTCCCACCAATGTGGGGTCTTGGTTCTGGCAAATAATTATATAATGTTTTGTTCTTTTCCAGTAACTATAACTCACATGCACTCCCCTCCATGTGATTCACCTCCATCACCATTAAATTCCCCCATAAGAAGTATCTGATCCTCTAATACACTTCAGATTTTTCCATCTAAAATATCTAGCTTTATTTGTTAAAGCATAAGCACAAATGACACAATTATCTTTTGAACTCTTAACATCTTATTTTGAATCTCTATCAATGGCAATCAACTCCATTTTTTCTCCTCCTTTTCCTTTTTACCAACGTTTTGTCAATTTTTTCCGTCCTCTTATTTTCCACCAAAATAATTATACTGAGCACATATGCAAATCAAATAAATATCAGTATTATACAGAACCCTTGTCATAAGGGAAACCAAGGGAGAAAAAACTAACACATCTATTAATCCTTTAGTCGGTGCTAATTCATTATCACCAAACACATCTGAAAAAGGTATGTAAACTACGAGAGTTTCTCCCCCATCAAATGAAAGATGTTTCTTCAAATGATGTCTTTAGATTACATAAAAGATATTTTTTTTCCTTTTCATTTCAGCTTTTATGCTTCACCTAAACTGGTATATACTGGTCCAGGCTAGAATTGGAATGTGAAACATCCAATTTTTTAACAGTCCATATTGCTAAAGAAGGTTTATATTTTCTTTTCTTTTTACATGTTTAACCATAGTACCACTCACCATCGGGCCTCTGTCTCTTATGCATGATTCCCCTTCTTGCACTATCTGCCTCCACCAGTCCATTATCATGACTCGCACCACCTCTGGCCCATTGATTCATCCCATACTTCTCTTCTTTGTCGTCCCCTCCCCTCTTGTCCTCCCCCTTCCCTCCCCCGTACTTCTTTGCACCATGGTATGGACTGGTGTACCATGTGTTGGTACACCAGCATGAACCAACCACATACCGATCGATAGCTGGACCTATATGGGTTCAATATCCTAAATATAGAGCCTTAAAGAAAACTACAACTATTAGATCACACTAGTAACTATAAATATAAATGCATAAATGGAAGTAAATCTAGGAGACTAGGAACATATATGAAGTATAAGGTAATGCATATTTTTTGCATGCCTACCCACATCATTTCATGGCATATCTACTGGTGCAGCATGGAAAGATATTTATACTTCTAAGAGTGACATGAAAAAAATATTAATGGATATAGAAACTCAGTTTACTAGTCCAATCTGATTATTAATACTTCCTGTAACAGATATATTCACAAGAACAAACTAAAATCCTTGACATTACAGGTAAATATATTAATCCAGCAACCTATCACACAAAAAAGGAAACAGGTCTCAGATTTCTAGGTGCTTAGCTCAATATCTGAAGATAGAACATGTTGGAAAGAAAAACCCAAGTTATCAAATTTATGCTCAGCTGCTAAATTCTATCACTTTCAAAACTAAGGCGTGAACCCAAATCCTAATACATAATCTTGTTCAGAGACTTGGATTTCATTTCCATATTTATTCTTCACAGGGAGTCTACATCCCAGAATTGTTTCAAATCGCTGCCCATCCACTTGAATCTAAATTCTCAACTTAGTAGGTCCACAAAAAAGCAGATGAAGCTGCTTTAGGCTATATGAGCTCTAGATGGTAATGTGGTTTGCCAACCTGGTTCTCAAGTTTTATGAAGCCACAGTCCAGCTCAATCATAATTTTCCAATATACGGATGATCAAGCAAAATACTACTAGTTCTCAAAGAGACACTGTTTTGGCATCTACTATTATAAAGTATGCCTTAAAATATAGCAAAATAGTGTCTCAAAGAGGTGGCAGCAATTAGAGGTCAAATAATATAATGAATCATTTAACAAGTGTTTCCAAATACCAAAGAGAAATTAAAGGGAATGTTCAGCAGTATTTTGAAAAGGCACCTGAGTGCACAAGCGAGGCAAGGCGAGACCCGAATGCCTCGCACAGTTGCCAAGCGATGCGCTTCAGTGAAGCATTGCTTGAGGGCTCGCCTGAGCCCAAGCAATGGGTGCCTTGGCCAAGCGCTCGGTTGAGGCGAGCAATTGAATCAGGTTGAACAATAATTTAGTTGGTTCAAATTCAATCGAACCAACTAAGCGATGTAAATAGTACCAGTAAACCCAACCCACCAGCCCCCCTCCCCCCCGCGGCGCGCGTGTGACCCCCGACCCATAAACCCTAGGTACTTCAACGCCCCAACTCATCTATGGTCCCGCCGCCTCCATCACCGACGCACAGGTCCGATGCTTCCTTTGCCACTAACAAATGGGTCCGAAGCTCCCACTACTATAACTTTCGCACATAGTTACCCCCACCATCATTGCTTCTGTATGCAGCTCCTTCCATCGTCGAGGGATAGGACCATAGCTTCCTCCGCCACCGACAGATATATATGAAGCTTCCTCCACCCCCGACATCACTATTCGCAACTTCCTCTGCCGCTATCCGTAGCTTTCTCCATCATTGTTGTCGTCGTTCATAGCTTCCTCTGCTACTATTATTGTCGTTTGAAGGTTCCTCCATCAACGTCACCCTCTCCCTCCCCGCATTCCATCGTCAGTAACTCTTGTTCTCCCCCACTACAGTTATGACTACTATTAACAGTGGATTAAATATTATTAACAGTGGACTATTAATCCTTAACTAATATTAAACTACTATTACGTGTTAACTATTGTTACCATATAATAAACATTGGTTTGTTATATATATATATATATATATATATATATATATATATATATATAG